GCTGCCCACGTGCCGTTGGAATGCGAAACGATCAGAATTTAAACCCTCAGCCTCTGCATCCCGGCGTCTAGACTTGACGGACGAGGCCGGGCTTGTCTTAGGAACATCGGTGCTATCGGGTTCTGATAGACTCAGAAACTTGAAGTTCACTCTAGGGGGGATATACTGAAATGTAGATGTGGGAACTGCCAATAGCATTTAAAATGGAAAGTTGTGTTTGGCAAATTGTGTATGAATATTTTTGTATTAAAAACTTTGAAAGGCTTTTTTCTTAAACGTGTTTTATATGGGAGGCAACGTGAAGTTCTGGTCTGAATTGTCACTGCCAGGCGCCCAGCACGCCCTCCAACGCCCCAGCCTCAGACGAGGGGGAGAGGCTGGTCTCGGAGTCTAACAGACATCAGAACAGCAAGTGCAGAGCTGACTGAAACGACGTTTGTGTGTGTTTTAATTTTAAAAATAAGTTGTTGCAAGTCCCCATTAAAGGTGATGTGGTCAGCAGGGAAGAGCTGCTGGCTCTTCCCGCCTCTAAAGAGCCTCCCATGGCCCCACCCCCAAGGGGGCGCTGCCCCCAAAACATGGCCCTGGGCTTCCTGTAGAAAAGCTAAACTTTAATCACTCAGGTAGTTTGTACAATGAACACAGGTGCCCGGAGGCTGGTCTCAAATGCTCACAACTGTACAAAAGACGCGTAGAAAACCTGTGGGCGGGAGTGTGGCTCGGCCTCAGCAGCCTGTCCCCACCCTGTTCTCAGTCCCGCCTGGCCCCCCTTTGGTCCCCTCAACCTCGAGGGCAATGGAATTTAAGAAAAATAAAAAAGTAAAAGTCTATAACAGGCAGAGCTGTCACTAAAATTAGGAAGTTAGAACTTTTTTGGTTAACTTTAACATTCAAAAATGTAATATTGAATCCAAAAAAGTGACTTAGATCACACAAAAAGTAACCCATCTTAAAACTTAAAAAATCAGTCTAAAACACCCCGAGAACGAGGCAGGGCTCGGCAGCATGGCGGAGGCCTGCCACTCGGAAGCCAGAGCCGCGTCCTTGGAGCCTGTCGCCGGCGGAAGCAGTGGCAGGCGACCCTAGGACACGTTGGCCATGGGCTTGTACTTCTTGAAGCGCGTCCACTGGCCTGTAGCGTAGTTCATCTCGAACACGGTGTCCACCAGCATGGTGGTGCTGCCCTGGCCGTCCGACTTGGGCAGGTCCTCCGTGTGCTCGCTGAGCTTGATCTGGATCACGTCCCCCTGCTCCTGGCACGGGTTCTCTGTGGAGGGCGCGGGCTGCTGGGCGGGTCCTGGGGCCAAGGAGCCCGACCCTCCCACCCCTGCAGGGCCTAGGGCCCAGGGCCCCCCACGCCTGGGCCGGCCACATGAACCCACCTCGGGAGCCGGCCATGAAGCCCAGGATGAGGGCCTTCTCGGGCCGCGTGACCTTGTTGGCCGTCTTGAACATCTCCTGCGCGGCGAACATCTGCTCTCTCTGCAGTGCAGGCAGGGGGGTGAGTGTCTGGACCGCAGCCCAGGTCCTGCTTCCCTCCACCTGTAGGCCCTGCCAGGCACCGCTGGCACCCCCACTGCCGGGCACACCTACCGTGAGGGACAGATTCTTCTTGGGCTGCTGCTGGGCAGGGGGCTGAGTCTGTGGGGCCACCATGGCCACTGGAGGTGCCTGCGCAGCAGGGGTGACAGCTGGGGGTGTGGTGGGCGTCAGAGGTGAGGCGGGCGCCGTGGGCGTGGGTGTGGGCGTGGCTGGGCTCAGGCCGCTGTTGTACATGGGTGCCCTCTGCTTGAACTGTGCTGGCAGGGCAGGGCTCGGGGTGCTGGGCTCCTCGGGGGGCCGGCTGGCTTCCCGGGAAGGTGGGGCTGTAAGCACAGTGAGGCCTGCTGAGGGGCCAGGAGGTTGGGGACCCCTCCCCCAAGCCCTGTGCCGGCCCTGCCCCTCCTGGTGGTGACTGTCCTGCCCACACTGCCTGGCCTGGGCAATGGTCAGCCCTGAGACCTGGGCTCCCCAGGCTCCCGGACCCTCAGGGGCCTCTGGCCCGCAGCCGGGCAGGTGCCACGAGCAGCACCCCCGCCTGGGTGGGCACAGGCTGCAGAGAGCCCTGCCCTGGAACGGAGGCCTCAGGCCTTTCCAGACAACACCCAGGCTCTGCTCAGCGCCCGGCCGGGGCCAGTCCCGTCCTGGTCCCTGGCGAGGCAGGAAGGCAGCTCCTGGAGCCCGTCTGGCTGGCAGACCCCCAGGCGTGTCTGGCCGCCCTCTGCCTGGGACCTTGTTCCTGGCAGGCAAAGGGGAGCCCGACCAGGTAAAACCACAGGCCTCTGGGACGTAAGTTCTGGGACTGGGAGGGGACCCACGGCCGTGGGCTCTGCCCCCTTGGCCACTTCCCAGTCGAGCTGCAGCTGAGGCAGCCGCCTGTGGCCCCAGGAAGGGCCGGGCACGTGCCAGCATGCACAGCAGGGCGGGAGGGCCCTGGCAGGTGGGTGCTGGGGGCCTCGGGAGGGCTGCCCCGCCCGCTGCCACGGCCTACCTGGCGGAGTCTCGGAGCTGGGGATGTAGGAGGAGGCCGGGACCACGCTGGGGGTGGCAGGCAGGTAGCTGGTGGAGGGCAGCGAAGGCTCGCTGTTCAGAGCCCCCAGTTTCTGGAAGACAGTGCATGGTCCCTCCCAGGAGAGGCCTGGGTCTCCGTGCCCCCCAGGAGCCTCGCCCTGGAGCAGGGCACGTGCCGCCCCGGCTGGAAGGGCTGCCCCACGGGAGTGGCCCCAGCAGAGGAGGGCTGGGCTCCTGTTTGGTTAAGGAGCCCCAAGCCAGCCCTCTTTGAGGAAAGAAAAAAGTCCAACAACGGTTTTCTTATGAAAACACGACAGGCGGTGACGTGCGCACAGTAGGAAAAGGAGAGGACAGCCGCACAATGGAGAAGCTTCTCCAGGCCACAGCTGCTCACCGTCTGCGCAGGGGACTCCGCGAGGCGGGCACCGGTCTCCCGCGCAGGAAAGGGGCCTGGTGAGGCGCCACATCTGTGATCTCAGCTCGCCAGCATGTGACACGTGACATGCACAGGCCGGGGGGGCCCCCTGGCCAGCGCTGCCTCTTATATGCATGCCCATATGCATACACACCGCACACGTATGTATGCACACATGTATATACATATACGTATTCTCCGACAACACACTTTAGTGGCTAAGGATCGGGATGAGGGAGCACAGTGGCCACGTGAGGCTCTGGCTGGGAGCCTACCTGTGTGGAAACCAGGCCGGCGGCGTAGTCGGGGGTGGCGTTCTCGATGACCGTCTCCTCCTTGGCCGGCTTTTCCACCACTTCCGTGTCTGCGGACAGAGCCTCGTCAGTGCCCCCGGTAGCCCCCCTCCAGCAGCTCAGCAAGTAGCCCCGAAATGCTGCCCCCGCCTGCCCTTCACGCCCGTCTCCAAGCAGAGGAGGAAACGCGCTCTCGGGAAAGGGCTGCCCTGCGGTCGCCTTCTCTGAGAGGCGGCCCCACGGAAACCAGGCACCGGGGGTGAGCCTGGGCCGAGCCCCCGCCGGTGGCAGCGCTCTCTCTGCTAACCCCGGGGGCCCAGGTACGCACCCAGCGTCTTCCTTCTTCTCTTTGCCTCTCGGCCGGCACCGACCGTATCCAGCTCAGAAATGTGCAGCAGCTGCCAAGACAGACAGAGGCCACCTTAGCTACGGCGTGGAGCGCGCCAAGGCCAGCCACGAGGGCAGACACCGACGGGGCGCGCCCACCTTCACGCCCCTCTCCTTCCGCAGAGGCGTCCTCGAGGGGGGCATGGGGGTCCGGTTCCCGGCCGGGCTGAAGACGCTGGGGGCCGTGGGGCTGCGGAAGGGCGCCTGCTTCGGGATGCCTTTGAGCGGGGCTGGGGGAGGACGGTGCCGTCAGTGGCCGTGGCCCGTCTCTGCCGCCCGTGCAAGCCGCGCTCTCTGGACCAGAGGCCGCTGCCGTGCCTGAGAGGACGACGCTCACCCGAGAGGCCCTGGTCCCAGGAGCCTGCTGGTGCCGAGCAGCACGAGCCTGACCCCACAGCCCTGAGCGCATGGCCCTGCGGCGTCCGAGACGGGGGTGGGGGAGGGGGGGCCTGCTCTGGCCAGTGAACAAGCACTCGGTGCCAGGTCACCTGCTCAGCAGAGAAGGCCTCAGCCAGCAACGGCATCACAGCCAACCTCTGACATTTTTGCCAAAAACACCGAACAAGAATGCCCCGTGGGCAGCCCGCACCAGCAATGGCCTTCCCTGCAGCCAGCACCTCGCCCGGCCTTCCTGCCCGCCTGGTGAGCGGCTGTCACCGGCTCCATGGCTCCCTCCCCCACGCCGGCCGGCATCTGTCAGAGGGTCGTCACTGGACACACCAGGGACAGCTCCCTCTGAACAGGGCCTGAGCAAGAGCAGCCCAGGGCAGTCTGGGGGCGGCCTTACTGGTGGTGTCCATCTTCCGGAGCAGCCCCCGGCCCTTGGCGTGGAAGGGCACCCCCGCGCTCCTCTTCAGCTGCTGGGCGGTCTCCGTGGCTGCGAGGGGAAGGGTGCACGTCAGCGGGCCCCACAGGGAGTGCCCCGCCCCTGCTGGGAACTGTGCCCCCCCACCTGCCGCACCAGGAGGTGCGCGGCGAGTCCTCCCGCAGACATGCAGCCTGCAACTCTGAGCAGCGCGCCCACGCACGGGGGTCCACACGCGGACAGCGTGGCGCGGGGCTGTGCTCGCCTGGGGCACTGTCCATCTGAACCAAGGGTCACGGCGGCTGCTGGGTTTATTTGGCTTCTCTGGGACAGGGCATGTACGTATGTTATTGACACGGTAAGCGCCAAGCCTTGTCTTCCTTCCCGTTTAGCCCGCGATACCCGATTTCACTGATGTGCTGGCTGCACCGGTGACTGACGTGGCGCTTAGCGTGTTAATATCCATCCCACAGCCACTCAAAGCCACACGACTCAAGTCCGTGTTTTGCTATTTGGCTGAAGGAATGGAGCTCCCTGCTTCCCGGCCGGGACCTGCCACACACACTCCCTCAGCCGCTAGCTGGGAACGTCAACTAAGACCCCGAACACCTTTCCAGCCAAACCCAGACCATCTGCACCCGAGAATGAGGCCAAGTCACAGCAGCAGGAACAGCCTGTGCGAGGCCGCCTGTCTCGTCGCCCGTGGGACTCGGGACAAGTTTCATTTTTGCAACTAAGAGTACAGATACTTAAACCTGAAAATTCTAAAGTTTCTAAAATAGATTTTAGAACATAGTTCAGTGTAGCAATATTTCTAAAAACCCCAACAACTTTATGCAGGACTCTGAAAAGACCGTTTAGAGCGTGAAATCGAAAAGGAAGCCAAGAATAAGGCCACAGACAGACCAGCACGGCCGCTCCCGCTCCCCCAGACGGCCGGGGCGGCACTCACATTTCTGCAGGAGCTCGGCCCGCAGCGTGGCGCTCTTCGGTTTCCTCTTGAGCTGGAAGTGCTTCACCGGGGGGGTGAGGGGGCCGGCGAGGGTCGTCAGGGCGCTTTTATTCAAGTACCGGCACTCGAGAGGCAGCATGGCGGACGCCTCGCACTCGGTCACTGTCCGTCCAGAAGCAGCACAGTGAGGAGGGGCTCCCTACCCGCCTCCTAGAGTCCTGGAGCAGGTACCCGCCGGGCCAGCGCGGGGCCTCAGCATGGCCTCCGCCTGGCTCCGAGGCCCGTCTGCCCCGAGTTAGTGCGCAGGGGCTGGGAGCCGCCGCGGTCAGGCCGTGGCCCACAGCGCACACGGCTCCCTCGTTAAGGGGCCGGCAGCTCTAATTCTCCAAAGGCGGAGGGATGGAGCGGCTCTCCTTTCCGTGTCCTTTCAGACTCTGTCATTTCTAACAGTTCCCGGCTCCTGTTCTGAACAACTGAACTGCTGATGCTTCCAACACCACTTCTGCGCATCTATCTGCTCTGTGCCAGGCACTGTTCTAGGCACTGGCGACACCCCCTGAACAGGCAGTGCATGCGCCTCATGGGCTGCGGGGGTGGTGGGGGGGAGCGTGTGAACAGGAAGAGAAGTAAGTAAGTTTCCGAACAAGCAAGTGCGGGCGGGAGGCTACGGGTATAGGCTCGTCGCATGGTCGCGAGGACCCGAGGCAGCGTGAGGGCGGTGCGTGCACACAGCGCTCTCCTGCGCAGGACGCGGCGCAGGACGCGGCCCAGGAAGCCCTCAGAGACCAGATGCGTTTTCAAAAAGACGTTTCCTCCCGGGAAGCCTGCTGCCCTCCTCCCAGCACAAACCAAACGGGCAACATACCCTTCTCTCGAAGTTCTCCCAGAATATCCTGAACGTTGGGGTTCTGCTCTTCAAGATCAAGGTTAAGCGAGCCCGTGTCGGGAAAGGACTTGAGAATGTCGGCGACCATGAGCACCCAGGGGTCCGAGTCCAGGGTGGCCAGCTGGATGATCTCCGCCAGGGCGCCTTTCATCTGCGGGAGGAGAGGGCGTCCTCAGTGGCCCCCGCCCTCCGGGGAGCCCGCCCGCTGCCCTGGGCAGTGCGTGCAGGAGGAGCAGAGCACCACGTGCGGCCACCATCCTTTGTTTCTAAACACAGAGGGGCCCCTTCAAACTCCCGGTAGCTTCTGGGGGCCCCAGGGCAGCGTCCAGCCTCTCCAGCACCCGCCCCCTGCCAGGCCCACCCTCGCAGGAACCACGGCCCCCTTCCTCCTGCCCCCCAGCCTCCACCAGGCTGCAGTGCCCACTCAGATCTAGTGCTCCCACCGCCTGGTGGCCGCTCTCCTGCGGGGCAGCCCCGGCGCCCCAGCCTCCCACAGCAGCACCAGGCTCCTCGTGCGCGGCCACCCCTGGAAGCTGACGGCATCTGCAAGGAGCTCGCACGTCTGTCTGAGAATCACACCAGGAGCCACACCGTTTCGGGAGCCTGCTGATGAGGCTGCTGGGTGTGGCGAGCTGGGCCCAGGTGGTGAGGACGGGAGCGGCGGCCGGGCGGGCGGCCCTGGCACACTCCCCAGGCCCGGGTCACTCCTGGGCGGGCAGGGAAGGCGTGTGGCGTGCTCACTGGTTGTGACCCACACACCCCGCATCTGGGGAGGCCTCCCCAGGGCACAGAGGTCACTGTGGGCCTGGAGTCAGCAGGCGCTGGGATTGAGGACAGAAGGCGCCCACGCTAGCAGGAGCCTCAGGAGCAGCCCGGCCCTGCCCTCCCCTGGGACAGCACAGGAGATCCTGGAGGCCAGCACGCCAGAGCCCTGGGGTAACATGGGGCTGGGCCCCGTCCCCTCCATGCCCGGAGGCCGGGTTCTCCCCCAGCGCCACTCTGCCCACCCGGAGCCCCTCCCCACCACAGCGTCAGCACGTGGCTGCCTGCCCCTCTGGGCCACACTTCCTCTGCAGGGTGAGCAGTGACCTATGACCCACAGTCCCCCCCCCCCCCCGGGGTCACCTGAGGACTGAAAACATCCGTCCACAGTGCAAACCAAGAGCCACGTCCACCAGGACTTGCCACGAGTCTCCACACAGCATCTCTCACAATAGACAAAGGCGGAAACACCCCGTGCTCTCAGCTGACGAGGGGCTGGTGACGACAGCGGTGGGTCAACGAGTGGGACATCCCTCGTCATAAAGAGGACGAAGCACCACCCACACGATAAGCCTTGAGAAGACTGCGCCGCCGAAGCCAGTCGTCCAAGGCCACAGACCACGATTCCACGAAGGAAACGCCCAGACCCGGGGAATCCAGACCCAGAGAACAGATGAGCGGGCGCCGAGGGCTGGGAGGTGGGGAGCCTGCTGATTGGCTCGGGTTTATCTGGGGCGGACGGCAATGTTCTAACATTGATTAGGATGACACACGCTAACCACCAACTCAACTGTGCCTAGTAAAGGGGTGCGCCGTATGGCACGTGAGTTACATATCTCAACGGAGTCGTTAAAACTCATTCATGATTAAAACAAAATTTTTAAATTCTAGGGATAGAATTTTCATAAGCAGATAAAAGGTACCTACAAACAGCAACAGGAAGCACTGTCTCGCTAGTGGCCAGAGAGAACGCCTCCCTGTGACCAGGAGGAGACAATATGCTGGGGGGTCCTGGTGACTGGGGGTGGGGGGGGAGTAACTGGGAAGAGACCTCAAAGAGAAGGACAGGAAGAGAACGTTCTGCAGGGAGATCAT